ATATATATATATATATATATATATATATACTGTTTTAAACCCTCTCTACAACAAAATTTCACTTGCTTTTTGATGTTTTTAGTTAATTAAGCTGTAACGAATGTTATTTTAAGACTATTAAAGACTATTAAAGCACATTGTATCAAAAATATTTGTTATCAATTTTACTGTCATTTTAATTAGTTTTAGTAGGGTTATGATAATTATGTTTTTAATGGCCAATTAATATACTATTATATTATACTAGTTTAGTTTTCGACACAGAGCCAAGTCAGCGTAATTGAGTTCCCTAACTGAATTGGGTTATCTCGTAATTTTTTCCAGTCAATGCCCAGAACACAGTGAACCGTCAAAAAAGGAGAACTACCCTTGTCACCCGTTTTTTTGCTAGAACTTTCTGATTTGGTTTCTGTAGAGTTATTTTTTTTATAAGGCTGCTGAATTTATTTTGTCGCCTAGTTAGAACCAGGATATTAGCTTTCGTATGACCCCTAACCTTTCAGATTTTCCCAGCTTGGCACAACCTGCAAAAAGTTTACACTGCCGCTGGTACTGCTCGGGGGGGGGGGGGGGGGGGGTCGGGGGGGGGGGGGTGGGGCGGGGGGTGGGGGGGATCGTAGGGATACACAAGCTGTCAAGTCTAGAACCAGATAGCAGCATTACAAATGGGGTAGGGGTGTATTTATCCGAGCGTACAGTCAGCGGTTTTTGCCTTGGCATTGAGTTATCTGCCCCGGCCATTCAAATCCCGGGCTCCACCTAGATAGACATGTCTCAAGAGGGAACTCTCCGCAAGAACTCGGTCACACGGAAACTGCTGAGTCAAAGTGACATGCGGTTAGGCTGTTCTATTCGTGACCTTGGGCCGTTAATCCGACATGTCCACTCGGTATCAGCGTGGCCCACGTTCGTCTCGCGTGGCTGCACACGAGCAGCTTCAGGTGAGGTGGCAGAAACCCCAGGGTCAGGATGTGTAACATTACATCGGAACATCGACGTAACTACGGAGCAGAAGATTTGAAGATTCCTGAACGATTACGGAAAATACATTTTGTTGGTATCGATACCAATACACTGACCGATATCTTAATATGCTAACCAAAGGATTGAACTGGTCGTACTCTAACATCAATAGAGATACCGGCTGGAAATACTTTTAACAAACATTTTAGATCTAATGCATGGGGGGGGGGGGGAATCTTGAAATTAAATATTGACTCATTTCGACTGCATCGATGTCGTTCAAACTATTCAAATAAATTCATTGCCAGCTACTACACATGAACATCCGTGGTTCAATATAATTAGCGATTCAATTTTTTTTGTGTTAAAATGTACCTTAATTACTACAATATTTACCTCTAATAAAACAAATATAAAACATTTATAGCGACAAGCTTTTAAATAAACTGTAAATAAGAAAATAAAACTAATTTATTTATTTCATAAAAGCTTTAGTCGCTCATGAGATCTTTTAAATATTTTAACGACAAAAACTTTTATTAAAGCAGACAGACATACAGACAAAATTGCAAAACTAATTTTCTCCAGCTCGGGGAGGTATAAAGCGTCGATGTTTTTCACAATTACAATACTTCCTCTATACTTCGTATACGAAAAAGTAAAAATGTAATTTTTTAAAAATTGATTGAAAAACGTGTCCAAATCCCAATTACACCGGAGTAGCCATCGCACTTAGTGTTATATAAGAACTAGCTGCTTACACGTGCTTCGCCACGGTGATTTTTTTTTTAATGTACCAACTTGGGAACAGAACAAAACCAAACTCTGTACTGACTAATTAGAAAATAATAAAAAATAATCTTAACACTAATCTATTTTAATTTTAAGCCTTAACATAATATAACAATTAATGTGGTAGGAATAAAAAAAATATTTTTAACTTAAATACTTTAATAGCAATATTTAGCTAGCGTGAGTGAATTTCTTTTTTAAATTACCTCCCCTTGTATAATAATTAAATATTTCAATTGATTAGTTTTATTCGACACTACTGTTAATAAAATTGACCCATTTAATATGGTTTAGCAATGTGCGTGTGTTTAATATTTTCTTTAGGATGGACTGACACTTTCAGCCCGCTTACATTGGAGATATTCGAGAAGGTTTAGGGGAGATCACTCCCGCTTTTTTTTGCAATGTGAGAATTATTTTCTTCTTTTTAGTTATTTGTTCGAAATGAAATTGACACTACACAGGCTACAACTAAAAATATCTGCTTTAAAATCAGTCCGGGAACTAGTGATCTCTAAAATTCAGTTATCTGCCCCTTTTTGGCTTACGGTCAACAAAATCAGCCAACCATGAAAATATTTCACCCTAGACGAAGTAAGTTATCTTGTTGTTTTTGGGTTGTTATTTTCTTTTCATTATTGAATATAGTAATTTTCAAATTGCATTGTGTATATTATAAAAGCCTTCAATTAGATTAAAATTAGATATTCTTGCATTGCCATCCAAGATCTTCCACTGTGCCAAATTTCAGCTCAATCGGAAGTGGGAAGTGGGTTAAATTAATACTCCAAGATTAGCGGGACCACAAGCATACTGACTGAACGTAATAAAAGACAATAATGGACAGGATAAACTTACTTAAAACCTATTCGGCTCGTTGTTTTAAAATGCATCAAATAACGCTTAGATCTAGATCTATATCTATATCTTTGAAATATCTGAAGACTTAAGACGAAAACAAAACAACCATAAACACGTTTATAGCAACAACGATTTAAACATTTATTTTTAAGGCTATAAAAATAAAAGCGTTACTTGCTACGTAAGCATTTAAATACATCTTAAGATAAACCTTACTTGGGCATCGATAAATCCAACTATACTGACTTAGTCTCAGGGTAAAGTTCTTTGATTAAGTAACCCATCAGGATCTTAATTTGATATCGTGTGATGGTTTTTAAAATTAAATCAAAAGGGTGAATGTTTTATTTTAAATACTGAGGTAGCAATTTGAGTTAGTTTAATAAAACTTTTCTATGACAATTTGCTGCACATTTAACAACTCAACTAGTGAACATGCACCATTAAATATCAGAGAAAAAAATGTCATTAAAAAACGTTTTAATAACAAGCTTTTATGTACTAATGCACTAAAAAGTAGAAAATAAATTATACACTACTATTTAAACTACTATAAAGAAAAGCGTGGGTCACTTTAGTACTTTAGAACCTATTGGATACCTTTACTAATATTTGAGAAGAGACCCACGCTTTTCTTTATAGTAATTTAAATAGTAGTGTATAATTTATTTTCTACTTTTTAGTGCATTAGTACATAAAAGCTTGTTATTAAAACGTTTTTTTATGACATTTTTTTCAGTACTTTACATGTTTTATTTACAATAGTGTTACATAACTAAAAACCATTGCGCGTCTATTGAACGTGATGGCGCAGCTATTGAACCTGATGGCGCAGCTATTGAACGTGATGACGCGTGTAGTGTGGTTGGATAGACATGCCTACTAATTTGGTCCAAATTTTAATTAATTCATAAAAAATTAATTAGGCACCCAATTAGGTCAAATTTAGTTTCAGATTGCATGTCTTCATGTCTTGACCCACGTGCCAAATGTGAATCGTATCGGTCAAGTAGAACTGTCCGAATTTTCACTCCTGCGTTTCGATCTAGACTGACCACAGACTGACGACTGACGACCGAGGAAGTTAATTAAATAAAAGCTTGTAAAAAGAAACACCGTATATGACTTCAAACTAAATCTTTTCATTTTTTTTTTATTATTTTTTTTTGTACTCGTTAAACCTTATCCAATTTAAACGATGTAATCAACCAAAGGATCTGTCATTAATCTCCTAATGCTAATGATGACCTCGGGCAGTGACGGCGTAGGTAAACGGTAATTGTAAAATCTGAGGTCAAATGGATTCAACGACCATCTCAGCTAAGGAAACATTTCACAAGTCAAGGCTGAGGTTTTAATAAAACTTGGTCGATAAAACGTGTTCATTTTGATTTCAGTTTTAAAATTTGCGGCCATTAACTTTCTTAAATTAAACACTGAAACAAATTAATAAGGGTTATTACAGGTAGCGATGCAGCTTTGTTGGACAAGGTGGGTGGGGTCTAGCCTAGCATAGGACAAGTAATATAACTCAAACTATGGACACCTGATAAGGATGCGGATTACTCCAGCCCACCACAGGTAAAGTAACTCAAACAATAATTACCTTTCTGTTTAGGGCGCGACTAGCCCATCTAGACACAGGTAAAATAACTCAGGCAATAGATACTCACCTGATAAGGTCTAGTCCAGCCTACCAGAGGTAAAATAACTCAGGCAATAGATACTCACCTGATAAGGTCTAGTCCAGCCTACCAGAGGTAAAATAACTCAGGCAATAGATACTCACCTGATAAGGTCTAGTCCAGCCTACCACAGGTAAAATAACTCAGGCAATAGATACTCACCTGATAAGGTCTAGTCCAGCCTACCAGAGGTAAAATAACTCAGGCAATGGATACTCACCTGATAAGGTCTAGTCCAGCCTACCAGAGGTAAAATAACTCAGGCAATAGATACTCACCTGATAAGGTCTAGTCCAGCCTACCAGAGGTAAAATAACTCAGGCAATAGATACTCACCTGATAAGGTCTAGTCCAGCCTACCAGAGGTAAAATAACTCAGGCAATGGATACTCACCTGATAAGGTCTAGTCCAGCCTACCAGAGGTAAAATAACTCAGGCAATAGATACTCACCTGATAAGGTCTAGTCCAGCCTACCAGAGGTAAAATAACTCAGGCAATGGATACTCACCTGATAAGGTCTAGTCCAGCCTACCAGAGGTAAAATAACTCAGGCAATAGATACTCACCTGATAAGGGTTCGGTCTAGTCCAGCCTACCACAGGTAAAATAACTCAGGCAATAGATACTCACCTGATAAGGATGCGGACAGTCCAGCCTACCACAGGTAAAAAAAAAACCTCAAGCAGTGAGTACTCACCTCCCCCATGTGCACGGTCGTGTCGTGAGGTAACGGCGGCATGTTGAGCCACTCTTGTGTGTCCTCCAGCTTGGCCATCATGTCTTCCGTGTTGCTCATGGCGTCTGCGAGTGTTTACGTGTGTCCTCGTGTGACTTCTTGTGTTTCCGTATAGATGTGTCCGTCCTAACGTGTCACCTTGCGTCTCCGTATGTGTCCGTCCTAATGTATCTCCGTATATCTTTATCTGTCCGAAATGGTCTCTTTGCCTTTCTTCGACTGTTCTAGTGTCTTACTGTATCTTCCTGCGTCTGCCTGTGTCTCCGATATATCCCGAGTTTCTCCGTATATCTTCGTGTGTCTCTGTGTGTCACTGTGATCTACCAAGGTTCGCCATCTCACTCGCCCAGCCTGGGAGTGAAGGAACGATGCAAAAACCCAAATCTTACAAGCAGACGAGAGTAACTAGTTTTTAACCCCGTATGTGACGGGCATGTTTTACTTTTATACAAGCCCCAAGTCTTGATGTGTCCTATGGCTTGGTTTGTGGAGCAGAGAGGAGGTGGAGTGGGCTGGGGAGGGGAGGGGTCGTCCAGCCGTAAAAAAAAATGCAAATCACGAGACGGACGCCCTCCCCTCCCTTTTTGGTTTCGGAAAGATGCCTTTCATCCGTGGTGTTTACTTTGTGTAACTTCAGCCTTAGTTCATAGAGTCGGTTATCGCTCGTGTTTTTATTTGCTTTCTTTAGGTGTGAAATACTTTTTCTCTCCTTACACCAATTATAAATGAATCAGTCTCAATTCAGTTGATTTCTAGCCTTGCCTCAATGGTTGACCTGAGTCTTTGGAGATTTTTATACTTTTAAATAGATTTTTATAACAGATTTCTATTAACTTTTTAAATTATATTCATTTTTATTATTGTAAAAACTATTTGATACTCCCCCACCCAAAATGTTTACATTTGTTATTAGTACAACAAACATGGTAAATATTGTTGACGTCTTGATATAATTTATAAACACGAGTGCCCATGTTTCTTGTTGTTGGAGTAGTTGCCCCTGATTGACGTCACAGATGACGCCTGCTACCCCGACTGAAAGAAAAGCCGTGTGGTGCCGGTATGTACGCCACCTTGAAGAAAAAAATCTGTTTACGGTAAATATTTGTTGCGACACCCGGTGACTAAAAATAAAATCTAGGATCTTGGGTGTCACATAACGAAAATACACACCTCTATAAAAGACAGTTGCTTTCACACTCAAAAAACTTTTTGAAACTGAATACGAATAGCCTCCAATTTTAGTCTCAGCACCCGATACATTTCATACAATTTTTTTTAATAGCTAACATTTCTGTGGTATAAAAAGAGTGAATGGAAATAAAGTCTACTTTTATCATCATCAAATCTTGTTTTTTTCGCTAGTATTGTTGGGTTGGGTGAGGATTAAATATGTGGATGAAAAAATGTGGGTTAAGTGTCAATAATTTTTTTATAGTTTGACTGCATCTTTTAAAAAAACGGTGTCAAATGACATCACGTTAGGATGTCAGCTACAAATACCCAGACATTATATTTTACCGTGCTATAAGTAGACTTTTAACCCATTTTTTTTTTTACGGTTGTGGTTCTAGGTCATTTGATGGTGATGGTGCTGCAGTTAGTAGATGTTGGTGATGTTATTGTCATTGGATGTTGTTTGTGTAGTTGTGTAGATCTGTTGTTGTTGTTGTTTGTCAGTAGATGGTGATGTTGTCGCCAGTGTTTCTACTAGACTTTTTTCTTCGGGAGTGGGGGGGGGGGGGGGGGTGGGGGGATGGGGAGGGGAGGGGAGCACATGATATTTGGGGAAAGGGGGGGAGGCGACACTGGTAAAAGTATATGTTTTTCTATATGAATTTCATTTCGTTCCGTTGGGGGAGGGGGGATGGGGGCGGCAGTCTTTCTAGGGAGGGGGAGGCGAACCCTCGAAGAAACTCTGGTTGTAACTTGTCATTTAGAAATTTAATTAAAGATTCTGTAAATTATGCAGATGTTAAAAAAAACTGCTGCAATGCTTCATAAACCTAGTCTTCAAATATTCGTTTCGATAACGTGGAATTATTGTAATTCCATAGACCGTGAAACATAATGTAATAAAATAAAAATGAATTCTGTGCTAAGCTAATTGATTGAGATTAAGCCTAGATTAACGGTGAAGAGGTTGTGGTCTTGACCAGATAAGCCCAGCCATAAGTGCGAAAAGTGCATACACGAAAAGTTAAGTCACGCATTGTTTTGCCGGCTGCAATTTAATGCTCGTACGTAACCTAGGGGGTTAGCATTTGGGTTGGGGTTAAAGGTATCAAAACACATGCCTATTTGTGCAAATTACTAATAAACTGTCCCAATTTCATCCAATTCAATAAAATCTAAAACTACAAGTCTCATATCCTCTTTTTTATAGTCTTTTTTTTTTGGCGGGGGGGGGAGGTGGGGGTTGCAAGGGGTAACTTTTTTTTTAGCGGGGCGTATTTGGACCTGATCCAGAGTTTGGGTTCTAGCTAAGAATTGCTTCGTTCTATAGCCCTACGATTGTATTCAACTGCTATCAGTCTATTTGTCCTAAATGCATTTTTTCACAAGTGATATGCTGTTTATATTCCATGTTTGCAATGATAAATGCGACCATTATCGCTCGCCGAACAGGAAATGCTCCAATCGTCTGCGCCACAACACGGCTTAGATCCCCTGGGTGCCGACAAACTACCTTCATGTTTGTTTAGATCTAGCTGGATTCGGCTGGACTGACTTGACCTAATAACATAGAACATGAGATTTAAAAGGTCAAAGTCCTTTCATGACTGAGAATCCCATTTTTTTTTGGTACACTTTCGTTCTGCATGAGATGTTTTACAGTAGTTTGTGGTTGGGGGTGGTAAAATACGACCAGATTGTTGGTGTTGGTTTGTGTTTAGTTGAAACACAAGTATTCAAGGTGGGTTGAGGGGTGGGGGTTCTTTCGTATAACTGAGGCACATTGTATGATATAACACTTGACATAGACCCATTAAATAAACCATTTTTTTTAGATTGAACCTAAACAATAAATGTACCTGAAAATAAACAGAATCGTTTTTATTATATCGCATATAAAGTATAGAGGGTTGTAATTGTGTAGAAAAATTAAATACTTTCACAGGTTTCGCCGTTTTACACTTCACTACTTTATCGTATACGAAATATAAAGAACGAGCCGGCCCGCGGCATAACATACGCCGCTATTTAGTTGTTTCTAATTTTCAATAATTCATAATTTGTGAATTCGACAGTACCAACGCTGACACTGAAAATATTTCTTTAAAACACTATAAGTAGCTCGTTAAGGACCATAACCCCCCCCCCCCCTCCCCCCCCCTACGTTTAAAATCGTTGGCTCTGCTTGTAAACATTTAGAGTGAACACAGCTCACTAAAACCATGTAGGGGTGGGGAGGTAGGGAGAGCGTTTGCAGCTTGTTTTCTAACGGCTCGAAGAGGAGAATTATATATATAGATAGATGTATTATAAATTTCATATTTATAAGCATACGATCTTATACTTATATTGCTCTTAAATTTTGAGTGAGCTCCAATAATTCCGATTTCTAAAATACCGATAAGTACCGTTTCAGGTAGATGGACGAAATAAGATTGTATTCTTTTGATTCCTTCATATTGTGAATGACCGGAAGTAGTTCTTTCCCGCTATTCTAATGTTTCAGATAAGAATGTGATAATTCTAGACCTAGACCTATATCACATGTGGTTCGCAATTCTATTCATGGTAGATCGATGAAAGGCGAGAAACAAAAGAGATACACAACAAAAATGTTGATCAATGTTTATTATACAAATAAATAAATAAGCATGGTAACCAGTAGATTCTTTTCAAATACGATGACTAATGTACTAAGTACAATTAGTAAAACAATATTTTACCATTTCAATATTAAACATCTTACTGTAAGTTAAGCAATAGTGGTCTATCTTTGTTCAAACACTAGCTTTAGCAGACCTACTTTAGGTCACTACATGGTAGATACTACACTATTTCCCCAGAGTTCTGTTCACTATTTCATGAGAGTTATCTGCCCCTGGTTAATACTTTACTTGAAAGCAACAAGGTGCTAGTGATATTTTTAGTCATTTTTACAATTTAGAAATAAATGTCATTTTACCACCCTGTCATTTGTTCCACCAGAATCTGAAAGATTGCAAACCTGGTTCTACCTTATTTGTAATAGGCAGCAGATTAATGTGTAGGCTACAACAATAAAGGCATAATAAATTAATATCAAGCAACTAAAATAATGGGGGGGGGGAAATTATTATATTCTTACTAATCAATTCAATTGGATATTTGTTTCAATACAGAGTGAAAGTGACATGAAATTTCAAACTTTTATAACAAAGTAATTATTGGCATATCAAAATGATGCATTACGTCACTATTGGCACAACATTGGTAACAATAGTAATTTTTAATTTTAAAAAAAAAAGATTAAAGGAATTTCTTTCCATATCACATTAATACAAAACTGGTTAAAATGTTATAGACTTTGATCCTATATATTTATACAAGACATTGGATATGTACAGTGGATACATGTAAATAAAGGATGATTTGCTGAAACTAACCCTGAGTAGAACAGAAGACTATCAGAACACATCCACGCAGTTGCTGTACTCACACCAAATGCAAACACTATATCTTAAGTATTTTTTTTACCCTTGTTATTTTCTCTTCAAAAAGCACAATTAAAGCAATAATAATTGTACTTTGGTATAGTAAAAAAGTGTGACTTTTAAAATTAAAAAAATTAAATTCTTCAAAGGATCACATTAACAATAAAGTATCAACAATGTACATTTCAAAATTTTTAAACTAATTTCACATCTAAGAGCATAACAGACAGGAATGTTAAATTATACCAAAAAAACTTTTTTAATATAAAGGCTGTGATGGTCCTTGGTTTATTAAAGTCTTGAAAAAAATGAACAAGACTTAACTTGTGAATATCATTTAATGTCTAAAATATTTTAAATAACAATATAACATTATAATACCACATATAAATATAAATGTTTTTTTTTATATTTACAGATGTGGTTGGTCTAAACAACTAGACCAGATAAGGACACAAGCTTCTCAAATGCCTGGAATTTTTTATATCATGAATGTTCAAACTGCTGTAGGCCTAGATTCTAGTGATAGGCCGCTGTAGACCTAGACCTTAGTGTCCCCATCCTATTGGCTGACCCACACAATATAACACCTGGATTTGCAATCAAAACAGCAATTAATAAATATCTTTTGTGTAAATTTCTAGATCAACATGTGGTTATTGTAAAAATATCTTTACAAATATGAATACCTTTTCATTCAAAAAATGTAGTAAAATATTTTATAAAAGGTTTATTATACAAGTTTATGACACAAACATGATCAATATGATAGCTCAGAGCTAAGCATTTGTAGATTACAAGAGAATTATACTTTCTGACATGGTGGGGTGGGATTACAAGAGAATTAAACCTGATATTGTGAGGAATTACAAGAGAATTATAACTTCTGATAAGGTGAGAGAAACATGCATTACTAAGATGAAATTGAATTGCTTCTAGAAAACCAATCCTGGAACTTTGGACAATAAATTAAGACAATTTTACAGCTTGAAAACTTTTGGTCAGTAAAAAAAAACTTTTACGTAAATAGTTTTGTAACAACATGGGTCCCATCTACCAACAAACAGCAACATTGAGCTAGGCTATTCAGCTTTGTTAACATTACAGTTAAAAAACTATGACTTCAAATAGAACACAATCTTTCTTTTTTTAACTCAAATGTTAATCCTACTAATGCAAAAAAAAATAATATTAACTAATTTTATCTAGTTATAATCATTTTAACTGTCAGCTATAAAAAAAGGTGTATACTTTATTGTATACTTTATTTACAAACATTTCAATTTTTATTTATAGTATAATGTTGTATACTTTAAAACAACAAGGCCAGTTTAGACCCGACCTATAAATAAATACAAATGCCACATTTATTAGAAAGTTTACAGTAACAATGTATATCTGAGCACAGTAGAAATTCCTTTATAATGTTAATGAAAATTGGCTCTGGTAAGATAATCAATATTATCTTTAAAGCAGATAAATTGATCAGACATTTAAAAGTGACTTTTGTCTAATATACTTAACATGACTTCTATCTAATATATTTAAAATGACTTCTGTCTCATATATTTAACATGACTTCTGTCTCATATATTTAACATGACTTCTGTCTCATATATTTAACATGACGTGTGTCTCATATATTTAACATGACTTCTGTCTCATATATTTAACATGACGTGTGTCTCATATATTTAACATGACTTGTGTCTCATATATTTTACATGACTTGTGTCTAATATGACTTTTGTCTCATACGTTTAACATGACTTCTGTCTCATATATTTAACATGACTTGTGTCTCATATATTTAACATGACTTGTGTCTCATATATTTAACATGACTTGTGTCTCATATATTTAACATGACTTGTGTCTCATATATTTAACATGACCTGTGTCTCATATATTTAACATGTCGTGTGTCTCATATATTTAACATGACTTCTGTCTCATATATTTAACATGACTTGTGTCTCATATATTTAACATGACCTGTGTCTCATATATTTAACATGTCGTGTGTCTCATATATTTAACATGACTTCTGTCTCATATATTTAACATGACCTGTGTCTAATATATTTAACATGACCTGTGTCTAATATATTTAACATGACTTCTGTCTCATATATTTAACATGACTTCTGTCTAATATATTTAACATGACTTGTGTCTAATATATTTAACATGACCTGTGTCTAATATATTTAACATGACTTCTGTCTCAAATATTTAACATGACCTGTGTCTCATATATTTAACATGACTTCTGTCTCATATATTTAACATGACTTCTGTCTCATATATTTAACATGACTTCTGTCTCATATATTTAACATGACTTCTCTCTCAAATACTTGTTAAAGCATGCAACATCCATTATTTTCCTTGTGTTTCTATGAATGAATTATTCAATTGTTGGTGGCATCTATATAATAAGGGTACACTTAAGTTGTTAAACCATATCAGTTTGTGAGAACATTTCCTAGTCATCTTAGACGGAGAGTGGATCAGTTGGAATTTCTCAAATACACTTGAGATGTTCCACAGGCATCTTGACAGTTGCTCACACATGACTGAGCCATGACTCACACATGACTGAGCCATTTCTCAGATATGACTGAGCCATGAGTGGCAAAAGACTGAGAAGTGGCTAAAAGAATATTCATTCAGGTGAAAACTCATAGCCTAGATAATTCACAAGTGGTTCAAATATGGCTCAGTATAGTTCAAAGATGGCTCACGCATGTTTCACAGATGGCTCATGTATGGTTCAGAGATGGCTCATGTATGGTTCAGAGATGGCTCATGTATGGTTAAAAGATGGCTCACGTATAGTTCAAAGATGGCTCATGTATGGTTCCTCATCATTCCCAATCACAGCAGGTGTATTTCCATCTAGAAAAAAGGAAAAATCAAATTATGTTTTTAAAATTATTTAATGAAGCTATATAGTCACAGTACGAATTTATAAAATCAGAAAAAAACTTAGAAACTATGGCTACAAGTTGTTACATGAACAAAACTGGAAATTGAACTCAATAAATTTTGAACTTTTATAATGACTACAAGATAATATTAAATCAATCTCTTATCTATTCAAATTCCAATTTAAATTGTAAATTGAATAAAATAAATAGTTCAAATATATTTTCAAAGTGTATTAATGATGATTATCAATGATTAACAAATGCAAGTGTCAAAAATATGATCAATTATCTACAAAAGTGGTCAATTTTTCAGAAAGATAGATATATGTAGACAAGAGAGAGAAAGAAACAAAGTACATAATGTAAATATATTATGTGGAACATAGTGTTAAGATTTTATTACAAGTGGGAATTCCAGAAACACACATTTTAAAAAAAATCATTGTTCTGTTTTTGTTGCAAACAATTTGAAAATGCAATTAATAACATTGATCCTATGAAAAAAGTGTCATTAACAAAATAACCTCAGCATGCTGAGTTTTAAGACGTTTAATTTAGGTCTGTGCAAGCAAGAACAATTAAACATGGACCAGTGTCATGACACGTGACAAGCTAATCTTCAGAGCAGAAATTCAATAATTAGAAATTTTATGCCTGAACAGGTGGAAAGAAATTTGAGTGGGAAAAGTATCACAATTGTTACCCATTAATTCAGTTCACTAAAAGGAAAAAAAAAGTTTCTTAAAAAAATATTTTCTAAAATATTTTTCTCTAACAAATTGTTGTTAAACAACACTAGCATCTAAAAACTTTTTAAACAATTTCAAATAACTTCTACAGTCTTAATAGTCAAGTTTCTGTGTAAATGGTCAAAGAAATCAGTGGAAGAACAAATAACGACAACTCTTGAAATAAACAAGTACTGAGTGAGGAAAGGGTTACATACCTTGCAAACAGTTTTCATCCATTGCCTCCCTTACTGTGTTCACTAATGTCAGGTTTTTAATGGCGGCTGCTTGAACTTGACTATTTACTTGTGGCTACACATAGGTCAAAGGTCAATTAATAACAGGCCGTTTTCGGTTGTCTATGCAATTAACTGCACTATATAAAAATGTACGCTGTTCCTTTTATTTTATTTTTGTTTTTTTAAAGATTGCTTTATAATTTAATTTAAGAAATTAATATAATTTATCTTCCTTTTTATTTTTATACTTTTATAATAAATTGCTGCGAACTTTTTGTTTTGGATATGTAAATTAATGTATCAAAATGTAAATTTTCATCCCAAAATTTTAAAAATATACAATTAATGTAATAAGGGACCATGCACAAATAGTATAACAAAAAATATGACATTTTGTAACCCAACAATACCCCATGTAAAATTATTTCATGTTCATCCACCCTCCCATAACTATGACACAATTTGAAAATATGTCCACTGATTTATTTAATAAATTAGGTGGATGATCCAAAAGGCTTTCAAAAATTGGTTATATTATTATCTGTTTTTACTTACTTTGTATTAATACACACATGATTTTATGTTTTAATTACTTTTGAAGTTTATTAAATAAACAGATGCAATCATCTATTATCATTAATTATTCACTAAATGTGACTATACTTTACTGTAAGGTTATAAGATATAGATCTCAGTTTTATTCTTTACATCAATATTTTTGTCACAATATAAGCAGCTGAAACTTGCTGTGTAATCAACAGCTTTACAACTTGAGAGTTTGACTGAAACTAATGTATACCACAATGTGACCATCTGAAACTTGCTGTATAATCAACAGCTTTACAACTTGAGAGTTTGACTGAAACTAATGTATACCACAATGTGACCATCTGAAACTTGCTGTCAACAGCTTTACAACTTGAGAGTTTGACTGAAACTAATACCACAATGTGACCAACTGAAACGTTTGCTCACCTGCCCATTGGCTAGAATCAGCTTCATGGCGTGGCGCTCACAATCTGTGGTCAGAGTTTTGAGTGACTGGACAGCTGTAAAGTCAAGGTCAGTCAGGTGCTCCATGTTGAAGATGATGATTTTAGGTTTTGAACCTGGAGGTTGTGAATTTTTTGTTATTTTGACATTTTAAATTATTTTTTTATATTTTATGGTTTATAGAAAAAAAGTACATACAGTATCTTATTGTTAAATGAGTATGAGTTAAAGTCTATTCAATTATATTATGTGGAAAAAAAAATGTGTTATATATATATATGCAGATATAAAACTTGTACACAAAGAAAAATACATTTTAAATTTGACCAACTTGACCTACTTTCTACAGCTTTCTCAAAAATCTGGATCTCCAAGAACTCAGCACCTGGAAAGTTGAGGCCTTGCATAGGTGTAACTATGAGGTAACCTTGCCTAGATGTGTACTGAAACATAGGTGTAACTATGAGGTAACCTTGTCTAGATGTGTACTGAAAACATAAATGTCTTTAAGAAAATAGTAATGATGCAGAAACATATCTGTAAGAAAGCTAACATATATACATTACATTGTACATTTCAATAAACTGTGGAAACATTTGAGAAATTTTAAACATCTCTTACCTTGACCTTAGGACGAGCTGTAGGGTAGAGAAGCATGAACAGCGAGACTCCAATCCCAATTAAAATACCATACTGTGGATATATGGAACACAAAGAAAATAAATGCTGGGCTAATTGTAAACTGAATAAATAAATCTGGGCAATGTGTAGACTGAGTGTGTAAACAGTTGTCTAACATTGGCACTGTAAATTGTTTTGTCAGTAGCTTAAAAAATCAAAATTATTTATTTAAAAAAAAAAAAAATGTTTGGACCAAAACTGACCTCAATCCCCACCAGCAAGGAGCAGATAAAAGTGATGGTATATGGCACCAAGTCCCATTCTGAAAATTAGAAATTTTGTTCCACAATTATGAAGGAACTGATCATTTTTTCATAGGTTTTCAAAAATAAAAATGTAACTTGAGGCATTAGTAAAACTGTTCTAAAGAAATAACTTAGAAGCTATGGCTATAAGTTGTTAAATGAACAAAACTGGAAAATGTACTTAATACATTTTGAACTTTTGACGTGCTACTCTTAATTTAGGTCTGAGCAAGCAAGAGTTGAGGATTAGCATAGAGAAAAAAAATTGTTCTGCCTTTGAACTTATTAACATCAGTGTTTTTGAAAGATGTAACATTTGAGGGTAAATTTAGAGAGTAGGGAACAATTTATTTTGTTATCTCGATCAGTTCATCAATTTTCTCTTTACAGAACTTTTGTGTCTCTATTTATGGCCTTCTTCAAATCAAATATTTGGTGGTTTTTTACAGGTTTTTTGTTTGTTCTAAAGTGGGACGTAATTATTAGGTAGTTAAAAATCTCCAGTCTGTATACAGGATGAGATGAGGCAATAAAACAACTCACTGTTAGCTCTCCACAGCTTCCTCACCATGTGATACTCCACCATTGGTACCACGGCTGCGATGATAACAGCTGCGAGAGCTGACTTTGGGATGTAGTAAAACCATGGGGTCAGTACACACAGGGCCAGGATCACCAGCCCGCCAGTCCATATCCCGCCCATGGGAGTCTTCACACCACTCTGGGAGTTGACGGCAGTTCTGTTTAAAAAAAAAATAAAACTCATTCTCACACTTCAAATGTATCTGTCTTGGATAGTGATAATTTCTTTTCAGATAAATACAATCAAGCATTTTCAGACAGAGCAAAGATCAATGTTGAGCTGAAAATAACTCCTATACAAATAATACCTCTGTCCTGATTTTAAAAAAAAAATTCCTTTGAAACTTAACGTAAGTAATAATAAAAATAGAAGTAGGTAGGTAGGCCTATAGAAAAAACACCCTCATCAATAATAAAATTATAGTGACATTATCTTTCACCCCCCACCCCAGATAAAGCTCATAAGAAGGAATATTTACATGATTAATAACTTCTATGTCAAGGCTTAAGGGTTTGTGAAGGTTTTTTATAAGAAAAAATTGAGAAAATTTTTTCATAGTTCTAGGAAAGCAAAATAAAAATATATTTTTTTTGTAAAGGCTAATTGGAATTTTCTAAAACAAAGCAAAAGAAAATCAAATTGACACCTTTTTTATTTAAAAATCAACCATATTGTTTTACTGCTCTCTTTGTAAAGACAAATTAAAGTTAATTAATTTTCATGCGGGAACAAAAGCTTTATTGAGCCAAGAACTATAGTATAAAATGTGTCAAAATGTAAACTTCAGCAGTATAAAATTTCACTACAGTAACACAACAATAAAACACAGAGTGCTAGAAACTTGTTAACCTGTAAACTTTAGCAGTATAAAATTTCACTACAGTAACACAATAAAACACCGAGTGCTAGAAACCAGTAAACTTTAGCAGTATAAAATTTCAGTACAACCCACAACAATCAACCATTGAGTGCTAGACACTTGTTATGTTGTTGTCAGGGCCCAAGACCCGAACATACAATTATGGGGTTGTTTACAGCCATTACACCCCGTCTAAATTCACCAATCAACAAGACGATGCATGATGTCTTTAAGCTAGTTATGTAATCATTTTCTTCTATACAACTTTTAAAACTGAGATTTAGGCCTATATACTATACTACACAACAAGAGAGGTAGACCAGTCATTAACTTGTTTATATTCTGATACAAGTTAAGCCTAGTCAGAAGATTATTAGTTGGATGATAGAATCCATAATGTCAGAGGTTTAGAAATAAGAGGATTAACATCTTGTTTAAATCATTGCTTAGCAAATGTTTTAGAAGTTCTGAAAAAAATTAATAGAATAAAATAAAAATTCTAAGTTTAATCAACATTTCTCTCTGTTAAATTTTAAAGTTCTGAAAAAAATTAATAGAATAAAATAAAAATTCTAAGTTTAATCAACATTTCTCTCTGTTAAATTTTAACTACTTGTTAATTAGATCTATAATGGGGTAGTAGGCCTACTTACCTGGAAAAACTTCCTGTAATGGGGTAGGACTTACCTGGAAAAACTTCCAGTAATGGGGTAAGACTTACCTGGAAAAACTTCCTGTAATGGGGTAGGACTTACCTGGAAAAACTTCCTGTAATGGGGTAGGACTTACCTGGAAAAACTTCCTGTAATGGGGTAGGACTTACCTGGAAAAACTTCCTGTAATGGGGTAGGACTTACCTGGAAAAACTTCCAGTAATGGGGTAGGACTTACCTGGAAAAACTTCCAGTAATGGGGTAGGACTTACCTGGAAAAACTTCCTGTAATGGGGTAGGACTTACCTGGAAAAACTTCCTGTAATGGGGTAGGACTTACCTAGAAAAACTTCCTGTAATGGGGTAGGACTTACCTAGAAAAACTACCTGTGATGGGATAGGACTGGAAGAATGAGCTGATGATGTTTGATGCACCAATGGCCAGGAGCTCCTGGGTGGGGTCAATCTTGTAGTTGTTGGCTCTGGCTGGGGAGTAGAACAGGTCAGATGTATGGGTCAGCTGTTGTATGGGTCAGAAGTTGTATGGGTCAGTGTTAGAATGGGATAGTAGTTGTAGGGGACAGTAGTTAAAGGGGTCAGGAGTTGTAGGGGTCACCTTGTGTATGGGTCAGCTTTTGTAGGGGTCAGCTTTTGTAGTGGTCAGCTTTTGTATGGGTCAGTAGTTGTAGGGGTCAGGAGTTGTATGGGTCAGTGGTTGTAGAGCTTATGGGTTTGTAGTTGTATGGCTGATGGATGGGTTAAAAAGACATAGGACAAGAGAGTTAATTAAAAATGACATAAGAATATGGCCCCAACAAAAACATACCAAAAGCTTTTCCAATGGCCATGGTTTCTACTAAAGCCAGCAGAGGAACAATTCCCAGTCCAGAGCCAAGTTTCTAGGGAAGCAAAAAAGGTCAAGTTTATTGGAAGGTCAAGGTTTACAAAAGTTCAGGGTTAATGCAAGGTTGTTTGACTTATTGATCACATTATGGTAGACTAGTCATTGATTTTTTTTTTTACTTGATATAAAAGATATAAATGAAAACACTCTAAACAGGAAAAAAAAATATAATAAAAAGTTAAACGATCAGTCTTTCAAAAGCATTGGAATTAAAATAGACGTTGAGTTAATGAATTTAAAAAAAAAAACTTCATTTAGAATCAGATCCTGTTTTTAAAAGTTTTTATGTAACATTTTATTGAGAGTAAAAGAAATCTTGCAGTATTGTCTGTAAATATCAGAACACAAAAATATATACATTTTATTTTATATTGTGAACAAGAAGCTTGTTGGATAAATGTTTTCTTAAGTGATATTAGCTGAGCAAGTAAAATGTCAATGCCAATTAGTAAATCATAAGATGCAGTAAAGGCTTGTTCTAAGGTTGCATGCAAACCTTACAGAGAAAATATCTGCGGCAGACATGGTGACGTTGCCATTGTCAATCTCAAACTTGGGGAAGGACACAGTGGGCATGCCAGGCTTGATGTGTCCAGTGATGCTGATGGTGCCATTAGCCACCCCCTGACTCTCTAAGATAGCCACAATCCCAGCAGCCGAGATTACCACGATCGCATTGGAGGCTGAACAGGAAAACAAACATATTTTAGTGCCAAAGTTTTCAGCTACTTCCAAATCACAATAAAATGTAAAATTTGCAGGTTACTTTAACAAAACAGTGCGAATTTATTGTATACAAATGTATGCATGTAAACCCAACTAAAATGTATGCATACATGATAATTGAAACTAAAAATATACCTGTGCCAATGATCCACAAAGCTTTTCTGAATATCAACTTAGGTATAGAGATTGATCTGTCAGGGTCGTTAGCGTCTGCCCATTTGATTTCCCGCATCTTCTTCATTAGGATCACAACGACCAGCGACACCAGACCCATCGTCATGTCCCAGATCCTGGACAACAAGAAAAATATTTTTAAACTAACTGCTGTAGCTGGGTATGATTACAAACTTGAAAATATTTTTTTCACAACAACAAAAACATTTTTAAACTAACAGCTGTAGCCAGGTTTGATTACAAACTTGAAAATATTTTTTTCACAACAACAAAAACATTTTTAAACTAACGGCTGTAGCCAGGTTTGATTACAAACTTGAAAATATTTTTTTCACAACAACAAAAACATTTTTAAACTAACGGCTGTAGCAAGGTTTGATTACAAACTTGAAAATATTTTTTTCACAACAACAAAAACATTTTTAAACTAACGGCTGTAGCCAGGTTTGATTACAAACTTGAAAATATTTTTTTCGCAACAACAAAAAACATTTTTAAACTAACTGCTGTAGCTGGGTATGATTACAAACTTGAAAATATTTTTTTCACAACAACAAAAACATTTTTAAACTAACTGCTGTAGCTGGGTATGATTACAAACTTGAAAATATTTTTTTCACAACAACAAAAACATTTTTAAACTAACTGCTGTAGCCAAGTTTGATTACAAACTTGAAAATATAAAATGAAATGTATAGCTTTGTATAAAAACAAGGTTTAAAAAAGTAATAAATATTGGATAAAAAGTTACAGAAATTTAATATGGCTGATGTAGTTCTAATACTTCAACAATACAACACAAATAAAATATTAATTTCACCAGAAACTAATCAGGATGCTTGCTTACAAAAATAAATCTAAAAAAATACAATACAATCAATCTTGTTTTAGCTTTTTACATTGTGCTGTTGTTTGAGATGATTGCTTTGTGTGACTCATATTAAAGCTTGTTTTTTAAAAGAAATTCTCCCTATAGAGTCAAGAAACAATTTTGTTAATGTTGCTTTTGATTCATAATTGAAAGTTCATTGATTTTATTAATTAAAGACCATTAGCAACAGCTTGCTTAGAAAAATAGGAAACCAGAAACAAAGTACAGAACTCTTCTATCTGCAGGTGTATTTAACACACGTATGTCACATCATAACATCAACATGAGGATGTCTCGTCACAACATCAACAAAAGGATGTCTGGTCACAACATCAACAAACAAGCAGGACACAGAAGTTGATGTGTTTGAGGTATGTTGTGGTGTGTTAGAAGCTGCTATAAACTAAGGAACAAAATTGTCCACCTAAGGTGGTGGAAGTAAAAATGTGTCCTTACTTTGTTTCTGGAATCTTCTTGAAGGTGTAGTAAACCATCTCTAGAAAGTTGTCAGGTATGTGCTTCAACCCTAGGATGTTCTGGGGATGTGTAAGATGGTTGAGGATGTGTAAGGATGTGTAAGATGGTTGAGGATGTGTAAGGATGTGTAAGATGGTGATGTGTAGGATGTTCTGGGGATGTGTAAGATGGTTGGTGATGTGTAAGGATGTGTAGGATGTTCTGGGGATGTGTAAGATGGTTGGTGATGTGTAGGATGGTTGGGATGTGTAAGGTGTTCTGGGGATGTGTAAGATGGTTGGGGATGTGTAAGATGGTTGGGGATGTGTAGGGTGGTTGGTGATGTGTAGGGTGGTTGGTGATGTGTAAGATGGTTGGGGATGTGTAAGATGGTTGGGATGTGTAAGATGGTTGGTGATGTGTAAGATGGTTGGTGATGTGTAAGATGGTTGGTGATGTGTAAGATGGTTGGGATGTGTAAGATGGTTGGGATGTGTAAGATGGTTGGGGATGTGTAAGATGGTTGGGGATGTATAGGATGGTTGGTGATGTGTAAGATGTTCTGGGGATGGGTAGGGTAGTTGGGGATGGGTAGGATGGTTTGTGATGTGTAAAATGGTTGATGATGTGTAAGATGGTTGGTGATGTGTAAGATGGTTGGTGATGTGTAAGATGGTTGGTGATGTGTAAAATGGTTGGCGATGTGTAAGATGGATGGAGGTGTTCAACATGGATGGTGATGTCAATGAATGATTAAAGATGATTTTACGGAAATTTTCAGCTTTGATTAAAACAATTTGAATTATCACAAAACAAAATATCACATGCATTAAACGCATAAATTCACAATTATGAGGGGAAAATGAAACATTTAAAAGTGTAGATTGTTGCAAAAAGTTTTTCCAGAAAACGTAATTAGTCTACTGAAAGAATTTACCTTGACCTGTCCAAAACCTATGGTGATGGCAGCAGCAGAGGTGAAAGCATTAATGACAGGATATGATATAAAGTTGACTAGGATACCTGGGAATAGAAGCAAGATCAGATTAATGGACACATTAATTTCTTTTGGTTTTAAGTTTTTGTTAACAAATTCAAAATTTAATTGGTTTGATTGGATGCTTAGAGTTCACTCCAAACAATTTTTATTGAATCAACAGAAAGTTTTTCAAATTTTTGTTTCTTCTAAAACTTGTCGGAAACTTAAATGGAATTCATTTTTAAAAAAAATTCAAAACAAAATATATGAGTTAAAAATTATTAATTATTTTTAAAAATAGTGTTCCGTTATTTAATTAAGCTAAGGAGAAGAGACTTACCTAGTTTTAAAATGCCCATGACTAGCTGGATGATTCCTGATATGAGGGTCAGCACAATGGTCATCGTGGGGTCCTTCCCCCCTCCAGGCAGGTCAGGGGACACGGCTGTCCCGAAGGTGGCGGTCATCAGGGACAAGATGGCCGTTGGCCCCAGGGTGATGTCCTTGGAGGTGCCCAGGAAACAGTAGACAAAGCAGCCAACAAAGGCTGAGTACAGCCCATACTGTAGGATAAGGTCAAGGTCGTGTTAAATCATGTATGACGGAACGACCAGGTATACCTAGATCAGTACACAACACCTATCAGGCACAACCATTCAAACATTAAATCATGCATGACGGATCCTAACCCCCAGGTATACGTAAATCACTACACGTACCAGGCCCAACCACGGAGTGGTCTAGCGGTAGAGAGCGGCACTGCTAACCCGTAAGTCTCGAATTCAAATCCGGGTTCAAGTCAGTAGACCGTCCCTGAGTCCACCCAACTCTGATGGGTACCTAACTCACTACTTAGGGAAAGTAAAGGCGGCTGGGCATAGTGCTGACCACACTATCTCTTCATATGCCGAGGTCACAGAAACAAGTGAACTCTACTTCACTTTCCCCATAGACCGTCAGGTTTGAAAGGGAAACTTTACTTTTACCAGGCCCAACCATTCAAACATAAAAACAGTAAACTCATAGTACGTGTATTTGGTAAAGACACATAGACACAATACCTAGAGAAGATACCTAGACCGGACACACAGTAACAAAACTAGACCAGAAACATTAATAGACCAATTCTATACAAGACACGTAGACAACACATCTGGATAAGACACCTAGACAGGTTACCTAAAGTGTTGAGCTAGGATAATTAGTAAACAAACGTAGGCAGGACACCAGTAATGAACACCTAGTTAAAACACCTAGACAAGACAGAACACCGTATCCAATAGCAACTGACCTGTGGGGGCAGGTTGGCCACCTGAGCATACGCCAGCCCCTGGGGTATCACCGTCAGCCCCACTGTCAGCCCAGCAATCAGATCACACTGGAATGTGTTGCACCTGTACACAAAACAAATCAGTTGCCTAATATCTATGACACAATGGGTAATGGTGTGCCTAATATCTATGACATAATGGGTAATGGTGTGCCTAATACAGCTGACACAATGGGTAATGGTGTGCCTAAAACATATCACACAATGGGTAATGGTGTGCCTAAAACATATCACACAATGGGTAATGGTGTGCCTAAAACATATCACACAATGGGTAATGGTGTGCCTAAAACATATCACACAATGGGTAATGGTGTGCCTAATACAGCTGACACAATGGGTAAAGGTGTGCCTAATACATCTGAAAATGGGTAATGGTGTGCCTAATACCACTCACAAAATAGCAGATGCGTAGCGAGCCTCCCCCTCCCCCCCCCCCCTCCCCGGTTAAACTTTCAATTTGACGCCTCCCCCCATATATTATTTTTATTTATAATGCAAAACTGCAGCTAAAATGAGATTTTAATTAGTTTTTCCAACCCATTTTGGCTGCCCCCTAGGGTCGGCGCCCGGGGATATATGTAGGCCTACCCCCCGCCCCCTTCGCTACGCCTCTGCACTATGGGTAAAGGTGTGTATAATATCGCTGGCAACATGGGTAGACTATTTGACTAACCTGTATTTGGGCAACCATTTGACTAACCTGTATTTGGGCAACCATTTGACTAACCTGTATTTGGGCAACCATTTGACTAACCTGTATTTGGGCAACCATTTGACTAACCTGTATTTGGGCAACCATTTGACTAACCTGTATTTGGGCAACCATTTGACTAACCTGTATTTGGGCAACCATTTGACTAACCTGTATTTGGGCAACCATTTGACCAACCTGTATTTGGGCAACCATTTGACCAACCTGTATTTGGGCAACCATTTGACTAACCTGTATTTGGGCAACCATTTGACTAACCTGTATTTGGGCAACCATTTGACTAACCTGTATTTGGGCAACCATTTGACTAACCTGTATTTGGGCAACCATTTGACTAACCTGTATTTGGGCAACCATTTGACTAACCTGTATTTGGGCAACCATTTGACTAACCTGTATTTGGGCAACCATTTGACTAACCTGTATTTGGGCAACCATTTGACTAACCTGTATTTGGGCAACCATTTGACCAACCTGTATTTGGGCAACCATTTGACCAACCTGTATTTGGGCAACCATTTGACTAACCTGTATTTGGGCAACCATTTGACTAACCTGTATTTGGGCAACCATTTGACTAACCTGTATTTGGGCAACCATTTGACTAACCTGTATTTGGGCAACCATTTGACTAACCTGTATTTGGGCAACCATTTGACTAACCTGTATTTGGGCAACCATTTGACTAACCTGTATTTGGGCAACCATTTGGCTAACCTGTATTTGGGCAACCATTTGGCTAACCTGTATTTGGGCAACCATTTGACTAACCTGTATTTGGGCAACCATTTGACTAACCTGTATTTGGGCAACCATTTGACTAACCTGTATTTGGGCAACCATTTGACTAACCTGTATTTGGGCAACCATTTGACTAACCTGTATTTGGGCAACCATTTGACTATCTTGTATTTGGGCAACCATTTGTCTAACCTGTATTTGGGCAACCATTTGACTAACCTGTATTTGGGCAACCATTTGACTAACCTGTATTTGGGCAACCATTTGACTAACCTGTATTTGGGCAACCATTTGACTAACCTGTATTTGGGCAACCATTTGACTAACCTGTATTTGGGCAACCATTTGACTATGGGAAACTTGTTGAGTACATTCTCCAAGGTAAACGTCTCCTGGCAACATTGTTTCACATGGTGTTTGATGGACGCTGGATTTATCTCCCCTGCCCCTTCAATATCTGGGTTATTGCCCTTGTCATCTCCCCTTTTCTTGTCCAAGTAGCCATTGGAAGCAGGCTAAAAAACAATATTAACGTTTTTAAGATATTAGCGAGAAAAAAACATTTTAAACATCAGAGATAGACACCAGATCTGTTTGATCAGAGGCACACAACAATTCATTATGGATGTTTTTTGTGATTGCATCCACACATTTCTTATATACCTAAGGACATATTCAGGGTTGTCGGCCTTAAAATTTGTGGGCCTTTTAGTCACGTCGGCCTTTTGGTCGTGTCGGCCTTTTGGTCGTGTCGGCCTTTTGGTCGTGTCGGCCTTTTTGTCGTGTCGGCCTTTGGTCGTGTCGGCCTTTTGGTCGTGTCGGCCTTTTAGTCATGTCGGTCGTTTGATCATGTCGGTATTTTGGTGTAGTCTAACTGTTTAATTGTGTCTAACTGTTTAATTGTGTCTAACTGTGTTGAATTAAACACAAATATTACAATGTGGCACAGCCACTGACTACCAAGGGTCCTAACTCTAATTGCCCAGCCTCTACATGTCAGTTTTGATGAGCGGGTCAACTCAAGTGTCAGCCTCAGCTTAAACCCGTGCCCAGCACGTCTAGTACATCCTCTCGTCCCACTAACTAGACGGCATCTACTCCAGCTGAACAGGTGATAATCGTCCAAGTTCAGCACAGATTACAGAGGAAATCTACTCAGACTTTATACAGCATTCATTAAACATAATTGCTTTTGATTATCCACAACAGTGCTACCACGAATCAATATTTAGAGAAGATTAAGATGCCAAGACCGTCTTCAATGCTTAGTGGTCGGCTTAAGCATGGGATTTGTGTGGGCCGTTTGAGATTATTATTATAACAAGGAAAATATAGTTGTATGTCGTCTTACATACAGTCTAAGTCACTGCTGGCTTTTATCAAGACGCTCTCCCCTTCACATTACATATTATAATTTCTTTTACCCAAACCTTTTCAAAGTGATTGTTATCATAGAAATACTAAATTACAGCCTAATTTTTAAAAAAATGTATATTATTGAGTAAATTTCTGTGAACATCTACGCTTTTCCCAGGCAGCAATATACTAAGGCGCGCTACCCAGTTTAAAACTTCGGGCTAAAATATTATATTATTTAGTAAAGTGTGCACACCTCTATCCAATCAGTTTAAAACATCTTCACTAAGTTGTGTTGAGCACGATATTAGCTGAGTGTTGTAAAAAAGTCAATTTAAATAAATCAACATCTCTCAGCCTACTTCTGTTGCTACATGTTTCTGATGCTACATGTTTCTGTTGCTACATGTTTCTGTGGCTACATGTTCCTGTTGCTACATGTTTCTGTTGCTACATGTTTCTGTTGCTACATGTTTATGTTGCTACATGTTTCTGTTGCTACATGTTTCTGTTGCTACGTGTTTCTGTTGCTACATGTTTCTGTTGCTACATGTTTCTCTTGCTACATGTTTCTGTTGCTACATGTTTCTGTGGCTACATGTTTCTGTTGCTACATGTTTCTCTTGCTACATGTTTCTGTTGCTACATGTAGCACCTAGGTATCGATTCCAGGAAGTGACGTCAGCAGGACACTCTTAAACCCACCGTGTTGTCAATTTTAATTAGGTTGACCTAATTAATCATAAAATACCCAGTGTAAGAATTGAAGAGGAAATCAATGCGCAGTGATTAAGCAGATTATTATTAATTGAGAAATACCAAAAATATACTACATGATACCATAAATATGCTACAAGATACCAAAAATATGCTACATGGGCATGTTTGAAAAAACTCAAGAAAGAAGATCGCCCAGCACCGTATGTGACCCCCATCACAGACCCCACCACCACATGTGACCCCCACCGCCACACGTGACCCCCACCACCACACGTGACCCCCACCACCACCACATGTGACCCCCACCACCACATGTGACCCCCACCATCACCACATTTGACCCCCACCACCACTTTTGACCCCCACCACCGCATGTGACCCCCACCGCCACACGTGACCCCCCACCACCACATGTGACCCCCACCACCACCACATGTGACCCCCACCACCACATGTGACCCCCACCACCACCACATTTGACCCCCACCACCACTTTTGACCCCCACCACCGCATGTGACCCCCACCACCGCATGTGACCCCCACCACCACCGCATGTGACCCCCACCACCACACGTGACCCCCACCACCACCACTTTTGACCCCCACCACCACACGTGACCCCCACCACCACCACTTTTGACCCCCACCACCACATGTGACCCCCACCACCACCACATGTGACCCCCACCACCACCACATGTGACCCCCACCACCACATGTGACCCCCACCACCACATGTGACCCCCCACCACCACCACATGTGACCCCCACCACCACCACATGTGACCCCCACCACCACATGTGACCCCCACCACCACCACATGTGACCCCCACCACCACCACATGTGACCCCCACCACCACCACATGTGACCCCCACCACAACATGTGACGCCCGCCATCGCATGTGACTCCCACCACGACAAGTGACCCCCACCACCACATGCAACACCAGATCGACATGCGACCCCACCAATACATTATCCCAATGGCTCTGTAAAATAAACAATTGTGCCAGATCACATTTAGTACACAAACTTTTTACTCAGAAAAAAATGTGTACAAATGTAAGTTTAATTTTTTACCGTATTTTCTACTGCTATATGTATCACAATTAAGATAAATAACCCTACGAGAGACTCCGTTAAGAAATCCAAACTGAAGTTATGTACAAACACATCTCTTTACCCACATAAGGTTGTACGTACTTGCTTTAAAGTAACATATACATACGGCATACATACACACACTACATGTAACCCAAAATTAGCCTAGCGTTTATTACACAATGTAATCCACCAACATACAGGCGCATGTCTACATGTAATCAGCATTAATTAGTTTATCTGGTCAGTTTCTCCATGTCACTCATCATTAAGTGGATAAATATGCTGACACGCAAAATCTATGTAAGTCGGGGCTTAACATAGGGCAACTGGTGCAATATAGTGCAGTGTTGTTTACAATGGGCAGAGGATGCAGTGTTGTTTACAATGGGCAGAGGATTGCAGTGCTGTTTACAATGGGCAGTGGATTGCAGTGCTGTTTACAATGGGCAGAGGATTGCAGTGCTATTTACAATGGGCAGATGATGCAGTGTTGTTTACAATGGGCAGAGGATGCAGTGCTGTTTACAATGGGCAGAGGATTGCAGTGTTGTTTACAATGGGCAGAGGATGCAGTGTTGTTTACAATGGGCAGAGGATGCAGTGCTGTTTACAATGGGCAGAGGATTGCAGTATTGTTTACAATGGGCAGAGGATGCAGTGCTGTTTACAATGGGCAGAGGATTGCAGTGCTGTTTACAATGGACAGAGGATTGCAGTGCTATTTACAATGGGCAGAGGATTGCAGTGCTATTTACAATGGGCAGATGATGCAGTGCTATTTACAATGGGCAGAGGATTGCAGTGCTGTTTACATAAGCTATGCAAAACTGCACACAATTAAGTTATAGAAATAGAACCTTCGCATAGCTTATAAATAAACAAAACGTCGAGTACGGACATTTTTTACGGACATTTTGATTGAAAAACTATCGACTTGATTTGTACATTATTATTACAAGAATAAATTATCAATAGATCAAAGCTTGACGTATCATGATAGCACGGCTTTGTTAACTGAATTTTAAAGTCCGGTAATCATTAAAGTGTGAGGGCATTAAACAACCAGACATTAAATCCCCCACATTCGACTCAATTCTCCGACTACAAACTGGTAAAAACAAAGTTAAGCCCTACTCCGAATTTGAGCGAAACCTTATTTTATTAAAGTACATCCTAATGATGCAGCCCCTAATTTAGCAGGTTCCTTAACTCCAGTGAAAACTAAGATCGATAACTCTTGCACAAGTACAATGGCCAGCAGCAAGCCACAAAAAGTCCTTATAAGTGAGATCATCATTATAAATACATCGCGGAGGGGAGATAACATTTCACATAGAAAAAGCACTTTTAACAAAGCTGTAGCACAAACAATGAAACATGATCAATGTTTTAAATCAGGTATCAAATTAGGCCTGTATAATCACAATTGGAGTTGATTTAATATTCGGTAGAATAAATGTTGGTTTTTGAGGGGACTTTAAAAACAGTGGGGGCTAAACACACTTCATTATACAACTCCTAGCTCAGCTACTGCCACACGGACAGGAAACAGACACTCAGAAATCGAATTTGTGATTTCTAAAATCTAATCCAAACCACGAAATAATACCAGCCCCCGCCCTACTGTAACCCTACACCCTACCCCTGGAGAAACTCAAACATAAAGTGGCTCATATTTAAACATTCTTTATTTAATCCAAAAAATGTAGATCTTAAAAGCGCAGTAGAAATATTTCTTAGAATATAGAATCGATTGCTGGAAATATATATATTACAGGGGAGCTAATGTTAAAATAATGTGTCATGGGAGATAATCTTTAAATCTATGGATACCTCTATCGACCATAGTGAGTTCAACAAAAGTTTAGTTCTTTTTCTTTTGCTGAAAAAAACAACTAAGGAATAGTACAATATATTTCCACCCCCCCCCCCTCCCCCCACCCATCTCACCGAAGTGTTATAAAGTTCAACGAAATCCGCCTAGTTTCACCGAAGAGCACACAAGCCGATTATCGGAACGTGGCGAGTTTCGAGAATTTAATAACCAAGTCTATGCAAAAAAGTTGTCATCAAGCCCTTGTGAAACCTTTTGTAAGAAAACCTTGCGTCTAATCCAAACTTTAAGATTTAAAGGGGAATTAAGAAGGATTAACTGAATGGGAAAAAAAGCAGAACAAAAAAAATTACATAATGATAATTAACATGGAGTGTTTAAAGAAGACGACAGTGGTACTTATATAAATAATAACTTTTTAGGTAGACAATGATAATTATAACATGGAAAACTGAATAGTGTCTAGAATGGGAAAGAGAAAAACAATTGAAGACAAA